TTTAGTTCTGCGTTAGCCATCGAGTGGATAAGGTCGGCTTTCAACTGTGTTCAAGAAGTGTAGAAAATTATTTGTGATCTCGGTCTGGCTGTAAATGTTTGCCAAGTTCATCAAGTTGCAATAAGAAGATCATGCGATTTATGATATAATAAAATAGGAAAAACAGAAGCGAAAAGAAAGGAAACTGAAAGACAGAAAACAATTTCAATAAATAAGGTAAGTGATGCAACAGTTAATGAACTATAATAGCCATAGCATATGCTGTTTCCAAAGGAAACGATCATTAATATAGTTAACAATTAGCCTAATGACTTTTATTTCATATCAAAGTAAAATGATAAAAGCTCTTTTCGCTTCAATACACCTTTTGTCGGCCCATAAGACATGCGTGCATCATTCATATTTCTATGTAAATTAAGAGCTTCCACAAAACATAAAACATACAAAAAACCATTACCCTTACTGGCCCAGCTTAAGAATAAAAAGAAAAAAAAACCATTACACTTACTGAGGAATGACTAAGAAAAATCACAAAAAACATGTTAACCGGTTTATTCGAACCGCCGCGACACACGGAGGAGGGCGTCGATCGTCGTACCTCATAGGAGGAGAGCAGTGCAAAGAAAGATTCTGGAAGACTGCAGTGGGAAAAAGCAGCGGCATTGGGAGCTGCGCGTCTCAGATCGCCAGCCCAAGCAGCTAAAAAGCACATAAAACACACTCTGCCTGAATGCGATTCTCAAACAGCATTCACAACATCCGTCAAAAACATAATGAACGGTAGCGCTATCCAGTTATGGACGATTCGATTTTGTAACAGTTGCTTTAGCCCTTGCAGACGCCGATGAACAGCTAGTTAGATAACCAGCAATTAGCTCTGCGGCCAGATATGTGAGGAAAAGAATCTATAATCTATAATTTTATTGCCCAATTACCGTTCTTAACACATTTGGGCGTAATAGAAGAAGTTGTTATGAAGCCAAATTCTGAGAGATTTCTCAAACTAAGAAATTCAAATAAAATTTTTTAGAAATTTTTAATTTACTCTTAAGCAATTTTTGCTTTTATTTTCTCTCTTTTTTATAGAAAGTTATAGCGGATAATATTTGAATTTTTAGTGTTAATTAAAGTTCATTAAATATTTAGATATTATTTGAACATGAAGATGAAAGACATAAAAACGTTATATATTTTATTTAAATGAAGCAGAAGCAAAATGATATAGATATACATATAGATATAGATGTAGATATAGCTATAGATATATATAGATATAGATATAGATAAAGATATAGATATAGATATAGATATAGATATAGAAACAGTTACAGATATAGACCAAATATACATATATATAGAGTTATATAGTTACAATCATAAACACAAATACACATTTCTCTTTAGCTGATATCCATTTAATACCCATAATCTTTTTAGTAATCCCAATTCAACGTCAGCTACAAATATTTATAAATTTTTGTCTTGAGTCATCTCCCGAAAATATAATTTCTTTCTATTGACATAATCATTCCATATGTTGAATTTGTTGGACACACAAGACAAAAGCCAATTGAAGTTTGTAGAAGATAAACAAATGTGGATAAACTTAACGGAGTCTTGGGCTAGCCAATTCGATCATAAATTAGCCATATAATTGACCGCTAACACCTAAAGAAACAGAACAGCTAATAAGTGTGTCAAATACAGCTATGACACTCACACACACACACGCACACACACAGCGTCCAGTTGGGAGTTGTTAAGAGGCTTTAGATTATCGAATCGGTAGATGGAGGCAAATGCCTTGTATGTATTTCTATGCATAGTAGTATATGCACCGTTACGAATCCAAGATTTGCTGTGATAAACGCCTATTGAAAATTTCGACTACTGCATGACACAGATAATCGAGCCGGGCCGGGCCGCTTGTTGAATCAATGAAATTGGCCGACCTCGCAGCATGCAGAATAGAGAGAAAGTTCTTTCAACGGGTTTTTTTCATTTCTTTTTCTTTTTTTTTTTGGTTATATTGATTTTGGTTTCTTGGCTTCGACTGTTAAATGACATCACGCACCTTACTACAAATTCCAGAATTATAAAGTCTATTTGTATAGCGACTAGAAGTGGGTAACTGGGCTAAATCATGAAGCTGTGCAAATATTTAAATACTTTTTGCATAGTGTTAAGATTTTGGCTTGAGACTCGAATTATAATACTTGAATAGTAATAGTAATCTTAAGTCTTTTCTCAAAAGTCCCTAAACTCATTCTCAAGAGACCTTTGTAAACCTTATAGATAAGAAAGATTAGATTAAAGTCTCTTTGTAGCAGTGCTAGAGTAGAGTGTAGCAACAATACTTTTTCCAGGGTATCTACTAGTCTTTGCTACTTGCAATACCCTCCACTCGCTAATTAAAATTTTTGCTAGACTTCAAAGAATCTGCTGATAATATATTATTAAATATCCATAGAAACCTGGCGGCTATATTACAGTTAAGTATCTTGCACTCGTCCAATTAGCTTAGCATTCTCTAATTAGACTTCTCGCAGTTATAAAATATGTCATAGGAAATGTGTGCAAAAATTAATGTTTTCAAATTTAATTAGCAAATTTGTAATGTGGGAAATGTTGAAAGCAGAGAAGAGTTTGAATTTGAGGTGCGATAACAGTAAAATTTCTTAAAGACCTGGAGTCATACAAAGGAATAATAATAATGAAGTCAGCTTAGGGCACAGCTCAGCTGAGTATACCCCTTCACTTACATGTCACGAGTGTCCACAGGGTATACAAATTGACCTCATTATTGTGTGGGTTTTCTAAGCATTCAAAGTGAAGAAGCAGAGACAGATGACCACGTATCTAACTGCTGGTGAAATTGAACAAGTGAATCTCAGCATACCAATTCATATCTCTCTCCCTCTCTCTCTCCCTCTCTCTCTCGCTCTTTGTGTGTGAAGTTTAATGTGTGCAATAAAAGGCTATTTGCATATCTATTCGGACTTCACTCGGCGATACAGTTCAGTTTATATGGTTTGTTTTTATTGTTCCCAATTATAATGTTTGGATACCAAAAGTGGGGCTTTAGACATCCCAAACTAACTAAGCAAACGCATTGAATTAAATTTAACTGCAGAGGAAATGGCTTTTTAAAGAAGAAAGCCGGTTTATATTTTGGTGAAAATTGTTATTGGTGTAGGCAGGTAGCCAGCCAGCCAGCCACACCAGGTAGGTATTCGAGTAGGTGTGTGTGTGTCGGTGTATATCAAATACCGTTGCTTCCAGTTGCGTCGACATTGTTGCCAATGAAGATTAGGGTGCACGGCTTTCTGGCCATGGGGCTGTGGAGCTTTTGTTGTTGCAGCGGCAGCAGCAGCCGCAGCCGCAGCAGCATGCAATTTTCATGTTTGGCTCTGCAAGAAGCACGCCACCATACACAGGTATTACTGTATGTGTGTACGCACACACATGATCAACCCAGTAAAATTCACTGTTAGAATAACAAGTTTTTCGACCTGCAAGTTCAATTTTTAGTGAGATGAAGAACATAGCCATAGCCATAGCCATAGCCGTTGCTAACTAGTCGCTGGCCAGTCGTTGCGCTTGGAAAACGCTGCTAATTGGAAATGAGACGCTTAAGAGCAGCCAAAAGAAAACTCAGCTAATGCATATGTATGTCTATGTGCTGCCATATACATATGTATGTGCCTCTATGCCTATGTGTGCGTGGCTTATTTCTTTATGCGATTATTCCCGGCACGCAGTGCGAGGCGCAAGTTTCTCGAGATCTTATTTGAAGTCTGGTATGCAGCATTATCGAAAATCAAAGCGTCTTTCAAATTTTTTATGCCCCGAAGCGACTTTCGGGAAAGTGAAATTGGGCGAAAAGCCGCCGCCAGACTTGCCATGGCTGTCTATTGCCATTGTCATGCTCTTAACTAGCCGCTCTCTAATGCAAACCCAAAGCACGTCTCAGCGAGAAGTTGGCCTACAAATGTGAGATAACGTTACATAGATCGATTTCCAAATGCCTCCCCTGCAAGGTGTTGCTACCAGCAGAGTCAATTTATAATTTTAATTTATATATCAACATAACCATACAGTAAATCTCATCTGGAGTTCTTTAACTAGGAGGAGTAGGAAGAGCTCACAACCTTTTTATTATCTTCCAGTCTTCGCAACTATGAAGCATAAATGTTGTTGACCATTAGCTCGGCAACTGTGAAGCTTGAAGCCAGCTTGAGCCAGCGAACCAGAACAGGCATAAAAGGTCACTCACTCCCCAAAGAGGTAATTGACTTTCCTCGTACTCAATAGTCCATGAGGTCACTTACGTGCGCCATTGTTATGAAATATTCTGCTAGACCCCGGGCCGGACTCTTGACTGGATATCTCAGCTTAATTATATGGCGCGTTCTGCGCGTTCGCAAATAAATTGATGTGTATCAAAAACGATTGCAAGTGCTTATAATCTTTCAATTATAAGAGAAGCCAATTTAAGTCAAAGCATTGTTCATAGTTTTTCAAGAATTGAAATGATTCTCTCCAAGCTTTGTAGGCAGTTAAATACGCTCTATAGAAAGTAACTCGAAAACTTTCAAACTAAGCTTTGCATAGAACTCTGGAACAGCTGGAGAGGGCGTTCGAAGCTCTATGGCTAATGGAGGTCAACTTTTGCTCTAGTTTTGCTGTGAACTTCAACGCTAATGGGCGTGGCAAAGCATTTAACATCGAACAAGATAGAATATTAATCATGTTTAGCATTCGGTGGGAAAAGGCTAATTAACGACCGAGTAGATAACTTCATTCAACAAATCCACTTTCGAGATACAGTTTCTCATTAGAGAAGTCAAAGTCAAAGTGAATAATTGAAGCCAGTGGCTTATCAATAAGTGCGCGGTATTTGCTAGTCGAGCACAGCCTAAGTAGAGCTATTTTGTTCTATATATATTTATGAATATTTCTAGCATTCACGCTTTATTTATTTATACTTTTAGCCCTCCATTTGAATAGTCATAATGGCTTATGGAGCATTTAGCCACAGGTTTTTGCAATTCGTTGCGCTGGGTGTCTTAATGCTGAGCATGACTCAGGCCCAGGCCCAGGAGACGGCGACCACAGACAGCCCAGATCTACTGACTGAGCCCAGCGAACAGACGACTTTGGTAACGGACCCAACGTTGGGCGAGACAACAACGGAGATTCCAGCGACAGTCGATGTGGTGCCTGCCATCGAGACTGAGAATCGTAATGCAGCCTTTGATCTCTCAGCTGCTGCCGATGTGGATTCGAATGAGAGCAACTTGAGCAATGGGCGCTGCGCATCGGGTGCAGTCGGCTTCGAAATTGTCACTGGGTAGGTTGAAGAAAGTTCGCACCTGTTGGAAAATTTGCAATTTTAATTAAGCTCTGTCATAAGTCGGCGATTTATTTATATATTTTTGTTTTTGTTTCTTTTTCTTGTTTTCAGCTATGTATTTTCAGCACCTGGCAAGCTGGTGGATTCCCTGCCTGGCACTTTAATGCTGACGGATTGTCTGACAACCTGCCTTAAGAACACAACCTGTCAGTCCGTTAACTACGAGACAGGTCTCTGCGTGCTATTTTCAGCACATGCTGATCAGCTGCCAGGTGAAAACATTTTAAATCCTAATTTAGCAAATATTAATTTGCATATTTAGACAGGGCAGAATATAAAGTTGTAATTGGCTAATTAAATGATTTTCTTCTTTCCTTTCAGGCGCCTTAACCAAGTCGCAGTTTCCGGTTTTCACAATCTATGCACAGAAATCTTGCCTCTCCGCGAAGCCCTGCTCGCGGGCGTGGGTCGTGGACCGCGTTCAAAACTACAAACTGAAGTCGGAAGTTAAGCGCCGCTTCTCAGTGGGATCTCGGCGGGAATGCTACGACCTGTGCCTCATCGAAACGGAATTTACATGCAGGTAAAATCACTTTAAAGTACAGAGATTTTGCTTTTCGGCGATGAAGTATGAATATGAATGTGAATGTGAATGTGAATATGAATATGAATAGTAGTATGAATATCAGTATGAAAATGAGTTTGAATATGAATATGAATATGAATATGAATATGAATATGAATATGAATATGATTATGAATATGAATATGAATATGAATATGAATATGAATATGAATATGAGTATGAATATGAATATGAATACGAATACAAATATGAATATGAATATGAATACAAACATAAATATGAATAAGAATATGAATATAAATATGAATATGAATATGCCTATGCCTCTGCCTCTGCCTCCGCCTCTGCCTCTGCCTCTGCCTCTGAATCTGCCTCTGCCTCTGCCTCTGCCTCTGCCTCTGCCTCTGCCTCTGCCTCTGCCTATGCCTCTGCCTCTGCCTCTGCCTCTGCCTCTGCCTCTGCCTCTGCCTCTGCCTCTGCCTCTGCTTCTGCCTCTGCCTTTGCCTCTGCCTCTGCCTCTGCCTCTGCCTCTGCCTCTGCTTCTGCCTCTGCCTTTGCCTCTGCCTCTGCCTCTGCCTCTGCCTCCGCCTCTGCCTCTGCCTCTGCTTCTGCTTCTGCTTCTGCCTCTGCCTCTGCCTCTGCCTCCGCCTATGCCTCCGCCTCTGCCTCTCCCTCTGCCTCTGAATATGATATAAATTTGAATATGAACATGACAAATATTATATGTTTATGAATACAAACTCTATTCAACCATTCTATACATTTATTCTATTCAACTGTCTACAGATCAGCGAACTTTAACAGAGATACAGGCGCCTGCGAGTTGAGTGAAATGGATCGTTCGACGCTGGCTGGCACGAATGCTTTCCAGGCTATGGAAGGCAGCGACTATCTGGAGAATCATTGCATCGAGGAGCCGAATAAGCTATGTGAATTCAAGCGACTGCCTGGACGCATTCTAAAGACAGTTGACTCGGTCTACCAGGAAGTGAGCAGCGTGGACGAGTGCCGTGAGCTGTGTCTCAATTCCCCATACAGGTGCGCACATACACACATATTTATTGTTATGTAATCTACATTTCTTAGATATAATATCTTCTCATCTCTGTAGGTGCCACTCGTATGACTACAATGACACGGGCGACATGGTCTGCCGTCTGTCGCATCACAGCCGCGCCACGCTGACGGACGTGCAAGATCCGTACCTAGAGGTGCCTGAGGCCTCGACCTATGAGCTCGCCTCTTGTTACAATGTGACGATTGAGTGTGGAGGAGGAGATATGTTGGCCAAGATTCGCACCTCGAAGCTGTTCAGCGGCAAGGTCTACGCCAAGGGCTCGCCAAGATCGTGCTCAGTGGATGTGAGAAGCGCCCTGGACTTCGAGCTGCGCATGAACTATCATGATCTGGAGTGCAATGTGCGTCAGAGCCAGAGTGGACGTTACGTCAATGACATTATCATACAGCATCACGATATGATAGTCACATCTTCCGATCTGGGTCTTGCCTTGGCCTGCCAATACGATCTGACCAACAAGTCGGTGACCAATGGCGTCAACCTGGATGTGCGCGGCGATCTGACGCCCGCCCTATCGGAGGAGGTCATTGTCGACTCGCCCAATGTCATAATGCGTATTACTTCGCGCGATGGCTCCGATATGATGCGCTCTGCCGAGGTGGGTGATCCGCTGGCGCTCAAATTCCAAATCATGGATGAGCAGAGTCCCTATGAAATTTTCGTTCGCGAGCTGGTCGCCTTGGATGGCGTAGACAACTCGGAGATCACGCTGATCGACTCTAATGGCTGTCCCACCGATCACTTCATCATGGGCCCCATATACAAGAGTGAGGGCTCCACCAAGATCTTGCTATCCAACTTCGATGCCTTCAAGTTCCCATCCAGCGAGGTTGTGCAATTCCGCGCCTTGGTCACCCCCTGCATGCCCAGCTGTGAGCCCGTTCAGTGCGATCAGGAGGATACCAGCGGCGAGTACAGATCTCTGCTCTCCTATGGCCGTAAGCGTCGCTCGCTGAACACAACAGGTGAGTTGATGGGCGCATTTGAAAGATAAGATTTCTTCAATCTGATTTCAATTTAGCCACCTTTGAGCTGCGTCAGAAACGTGAGGTCAAGACACCCTCAGACATGCTACTCGTTCAGTCCATTCAAATCACTGACAAATTCGGCTTCGATGAGCAACAGAGTCGTAAGTCCAATATCGGTGGATATTCGGATAACAATGAGACGGAATTCACAACCACAAATCCCGGTCGCGGCTTCTGTGTCAATGCATTTGGTAAGTTGTCCTTTCATATTTCTGTTTTTAAAAGGAGGAAGGATGGAAACATCGATCTGCGGTGCACTTATTTAATGTAGGACTGCACTCAGATGTAGGAGCTGTAATACCATAGGGCACAAGTGTCTTTCGTATGCTCCTTTACTCAATTTGTTTTGGAGCGCCAGGAGGTAGCAGTCAATAATCTTGTTCATGCTTAAGCAGAGGGGTTAGATTGGTTTAGTTAAGATCACAGGTTAACTGCAGTCACTCCGTTCTTCTTCTCTCTGACTTTTTTGATAGGTCTCACATATCATTCTAATTATCGCATAAATATTCAAGGAGTGCGTCGTATTAATCTCATTTCCTAATAAATTTCAATCACCTAATTATATAAGTGTCATTATTATATAAGAGCTACTATCAACCCTGTCCTTATTTTAAATAAATGTATTTCAAAATTTAATAATCTTTATAATAACATTCGCTTTCTCTCTAACTTCCAGGACTCATCACAGCTGCCACCTTTTTCCTGCTCACCCAATTGGCTATAATTGGCATTTGGACCGTTTGCTATCAGCGCCGGCAGAAGCTGCAAGCTTATCAGCATTCTTATTAGGTTTTACACTTTTGCTAAGTTTCGAACTCAGATCGAACAGGTTCAAGTTTCAACAGGTGCGAACGACGATAACGGGTGACACATATATATAGCTCACATATATATATATCTGATACTTGGCAGCCTTGGAATTGGTCTTGTCTAGTCATGGCTCGATTTGGGTGTAGAATATAAATAGAAATCTCGCGGATTGTTTGTTGGTTAATGGATACTTATATTTCAGTTCTACTATTTATATATTTCGTACCTACCTTATGTACTATGTACTTGGCCCTGTTTTCCACACTTATGAAGGCAGTTTGAGAACTGCCTTCGTGACTTCGGAAATAACAAGAGAAACCACTCAGAAAGCACTTTAAATTAACTTTATTTAATTTATATACTAACTTAGTTGAATACAGAACTTTCCCTAAAGCAGCACAGACATCACATATTATTTATTTATATATATTATATATTTATTTTTATTTTCTGATATATAATATATATATATATATATGTTTTTCCCTAAATGAATATATATATATTTTATATATAGAACATGTATTATTGCCGATATATGTATTTAATTTAATTTAAATAAAAATTGCCTTAAATATAAAAGAATTCAATGAATTGCGTTTGCCAGCGGCTTGTTTATACCACAATAATGCGAATGGTTTCCTAACTTAATTGGAATGACGAACAAAAGATGTGAAATGGAATTGAGTTTTTTGCCAGTTTCGACTGTAACAAGGTAATATTGGTGTGGCTCTTAGAGACACCTGCGCTAATTAAAGCTTTCTAATGCTGGCAGCATAAAATCGCATTATGCCCATACTTTCGATCAGAATCAACATCCGACTTAAGACTTGTTCTTGATTCGTGACCTACACCGATGACAAAGCAACTTCTGGCTGCCGGACAGAATGGAGTGAATAAAAGACCTCAACTAAGGTCGAAAACTACTTCGAAGTGAGAAGTTTATATGTATAGATTTTTGGCAACGGCAAGCACTTTGAATAGTTGCCAGCTGTGGCTATTGAGCCTTTGCTTGGAATAGGCAATTCGACTTCAGATCACACACAATTTAAGTAGAAGAAAGCTAAGCTTGATTGCAGTTTAGAAGTGATTCGCTTACAGAACTCGTATAGATACAATTCTCTATAAACTACAAAGACTGGGCAGAGTCTTCAGAGTAGAGTTCATTCTGTATTTGTTATAACAATAATCATAGGAAACAACTGTTTTGTAATCGCTCGTGGAGTCATAGAGAAATATAATTATTTTATGCAATATGCGTTCATCTGTTCAGCTGCCTCACCTCTAATCAAGCTAAAGACTTGCAATTTGAAATATATAATCGCGTGTTGCCTGGCCTTAAAAAATTGTTGGCTATGTCTGGGGGATTGGCCTAAGATTTCAATCAGAACATTAGAATTATTAAAATTTAATTAGTTATATCAGGACTGAACGACTAGAAGATATCTTAGCTACCTGTAGCATTGAAGCTAAGCTTAAAATAAATATATAAAATATAGGTTCAAAATGCATAGACAATAGACAGCTGAATAAACGAACATGGCTAGATCGAGTTTTATTAAGAATATGTGTACATTTAATGGGATCTGCCTAGCCTTGGTTTGCCTGGAAAATACATATTCATAAAACCATTTCCATTATCAATTTATTCAGGTTAGCTAACTGAAAATTAAATGAAAGCTATATTTTATATATTATAATATTATACTAGAGCTAAGATCAGGAAGTTTTGAAGTACTTTACTTACAGATAAAGCTTTCTGAGCTAAGTCAAATGGCGCATGATCTTCAAGTGAAATTAACGTAAATATTCACAAACAACTTTACCCCGATCTTGACTAACAGTTAAGCAGAGTTGCAGCTAGTTTCCCAGCTGTTTCCTGGGAACAGCGCAGAGCGTCTGTAATGACTGCTAAATTGTCACCTATTATGCTCGTTTGCTTGTTTGGCATTTTATCTCTCGATATTTCCATAATGATGCGTGTCAATGTGCATTGTTTGTCATAGTGAGAGGCAGAGTACGCCCAAATCTGAAGAGTAAATCTGAAGTACATTCTTTCGATGTGGCTTGCATGCTGGTCCTAATTAAAAACTTTCCTAATTTTGTAATTTGAAAGACACTGAACGACGACGACGACAATGAAGACGATGACGACCTTTCAGCAAAGTGCTTAGTTGGCGCGGAATTCTTGAGAGGCCTCAACTATATAGCTATATAACTATATAGCTGTTGTTGCTGTTGCTGTTGTTTTTGCTGTGTAAGTGAATTAATTGAGATGAATGCACCTAACTGTGTGCGAGGGAGCGAGGACCAGCCAGACAGCAGTTACCTGCTTGAATGTGTTTGCTCTACCAGCAGATAAAGATACAAATCTGCACGAAGCCTGTTTCCTGTTGGCTCCGAGGGTGCATTAATTTGCATGATGCACACCATCGGCTGCAACTCCACTTATATACACACAAATATATATATATGTATATATATATATATATATATATTTATATGTATATCGTGCTTGAAGCAGGTGCGCATCAGAATGCTGGCCGCTGGATAATGGCGCACAGCATCGCCATGGCAATGAGTGGAACGTCCAACCCACATCTTAAAGTGAATCGCGGCTGGGGCAGCCTGGCTGCCTGGCTGCCTGGCTACCCGGCCTTACTTTGCCACATGGTGTCGCCAATAATGATAATGTTGCCACAGAGTGCACATTATTTTGGCTAAATTCAAGTGGGCGTTCGCGTTCCAAGAACCTCTTCAGTTTTCATTTACAGTTGTTGCTGCTGTTGCTGCGTGCTTCGTTATTTTAGAAAAGTAAATAGTTCTTAATTGCGCATGGACTAGGAATAACTATATAAGAATAACACTTACCACTTTCTATAGCGCGCCAACGAAACAGGCATCAAAGCAAAAACGGCCCCACTTTGATACCTTTTTCTGAACTTCTGTAAGGCAGTTCGATTTTATATAGCTAAGCGGGCGTAAAAATTAAATATTTAAAGATATTTTGAAAGTATAGAACACTTTTTTATATAAGAAATAACTTTTACTGGAATACTACTTTTAGATCAAAGTTTTTTAGGTGTATTGCTGAGATAGTTAAGAGATCTTAAGGGAAAAATATATTTTTTATGGAAGAAAAACTTAAGATAAATATTTTGTATTCCCTTAAGCTTAAACCTGTCATTCTATAAATATAAACAGATCACTGGGCATGTAAAGGTCTGCCAAAATATTTCTCTCAGTGTAATTTCTTTGTTTTATTGCAGCAAACAATTAAAATACCCTCACCAAACAGCTATTTACTCATTTAGAGAGTATTCGAATCTTTGACTGAAGACATCATTACACTGAGAGAGAGAGGGGCAAACATTTAGCTTATGCAGCAGCATGTACTAGTTAGCTGTAGGAGTGGCATTTGCTCAGTGTAGGCACAAGGGCATTGATGAACGAGTGTTTGATATAGTCCATGGAGGGCTGCTAAAAATGATCTCATGAGATTGGAGCGCAATGTGGCCAACTGTCGTGCCAAGTTGAATACATTTTTCAATAAAAGGGCTGCACGAATGTGTTCCTCTCGACTCTCAATGCTCGACTCTCGACTCTCGACTGGCTGTACCAACAAAGCAATTAGATTTCTGCACCTCATTATCCACACGAAAAGCATTCGTGCCATTAAAAAATTACTTTTCCAAGTGTACCAAGGTAAACGATCTTAGGCAACTAGCTGCATACGATACACGGGCTGCGCATAAACCGACTTAGTGGCTGCTTCCATTTAATGCCTAATGTTTGTATAAACTGCTTAAAACATGTTGTTGGCTAGTTCGCCTCCGGTAGTTAATCTCTGCGATAACACTGGGACCTTCAATGTCACCAGCGCCACAGAGAGCATTGACACCGCATGTCCATCTGCTGCTGGTTGAATGACATCGCAAAAGACAAGTAGTTCAATTACTTAGATCTCATTTGAATAATCCTCAAACAGATTCCCAATAATTAACATGCTTTGTGCTAAATGTGACAAAGCCATTAAATGCGGTGACATGCATAATGATTGACGAAAAGTGATGTGAAAAGTTTGTGGACGAGGTCATGCTCTTACAAAGATATAGTAGTCTATGGAAGTAGGCATACACTTACAATTATATAGTAGTATATAGTAGGCCTTGGGTATTCACTGATAGTTGAAAGTATTTTAAGGTCTCTTATAATAGAATATTTGTAATAGCAGTTAGATTCAGTTAAGCTTTTGAACTATTAAATAAAATGCGTGAAGAGCAAAGTAGCGCTTAGGAGTCAGCTATCAGATATATTAGCTTAATTATGGTATGATGCAGATATATTCAAGAAATTAAACAATTACAACAAAACTGTTTATTTAATTGAACTCTCCTCTCAGATTTTGTGCTACGTTTCATTCGTCTTCGGCTTAGCCTCATACCACATACTCTACAGCCTCTGTCTGATTCTATATTAGCTCACAGCTGAGCTTATTTAATGCAGATGAAAGCAAAACTATTTTAAAAATCTTTTAATGACTCAGCATTCTTACATCAGCTCGAGTGCTGCTGCATGCCAAAGGCAGACCAACTAAATTGGTTCTTATTACGTTTTCAAAGTCAAGGTAGACCGAAAAAAGATGACGCATATTGGGACTAAGACTGGGTCTAGTTTTAAATTAAGCTAAATGTATGAAGACGTAAGCTATATATAATAAATACTTTTAAAATAAAAGCTATTCACTTAGTAAGATGCAATTCATAGGGAAAACATATTTCAGCGTATAAAAACACACAGAAGTTAAAAAGTTTGATTTTTAAATATAATAAATTATTGTTAAAACTTATTGCTTGGTTTTTTAAAAATTCAGTTTTCAGATATTGCTAAAAAGATTCTACGATTTTATGTCTTAAACATTCAAGATTCAATTTATATCCATTTATCTTCCACTTCTCTAAATTTCTCGCCATCCAAAAAATTCTCAATCTGAATGAATAATTCGTGGTGAACTAAAATTGTATATATAATTTATATTTTCATATTTACATGTTACAAAAACTTGATTTTTTACATTTGTTATTTTAGTAGAAATTAAAAAGTTAATAAATATTTTGTTTTGAAATACAATAGTTAAATAGCTAAATTCGTTGAAACCTAAATACGTGAAAGAAGTCAAAATTAAATATTTAATTGACAGATTTACGTACACAATAATAAAAAAATAATAATAATAGTAATAGTAATAATAATATTAGGTAACCATCTAGAGTTAATTTTAAATGAATTTCATACAAAATATGTCGTAAAAAAGTTGGTTACATAGAAACGCGAGTCGGTTCAATGAACTGATTCATATGTTTATATATATCTATATATACTTTATATTGTATAACATCCAAATACATATTATATATTTTTTATAAGGAGTTGGTAAACGAGGACACACGGTTGACTTGCTGACTTAATTGGGCAAAGAGACATCTGGAACTGTGTGCCTAGTAAACATAAGTATATCCGAGAAAGCTATCATTATTAGCTGCTATCGCTGGGTCAAGCACATGCTTATGCGTTATTAGAGTAGCCCAATTTTGGGCTACGAGTCGGAGTAGATGATGCATCGTTTGCTCTTCCCCACGGAGGCTAGCGAATTGCTGTTCGGACTCCAGCTGACTGCGTTGACGGCCGTGCTGTGAAAGAATACGGAACCAGAACTTTTACGGGTTGCCAATAAAACAAGAAAAAGAGAAGAAGAACAGTGCAAATAGGTGTGTTCTAGTGTGTGTGTGTGTGTGTGTGTGTGTGTGTGTGCCAGTGCAGCTATAGGAATCGATTGCTACACACCTGTGCCCTTTGAGCGTTGTCTCCAGAAATCCGTTCACATTCCATATATATATTGTGCCGTCTGCCGATCCGCAGGCGATCTTCGAGGCGCCAGAGTTGAAGGAAGCACGAGCAAAATCACAGCTGATCCTGAAGTGCTCATTTCTATAGATGAAACAAAGTATAATAATATAGAGATCTTACGCGTGGTTAGTTCGAACTTACGAAAAAGTGGATATAACTTGATTCTTGCGTAAGTCTAATAGTTTTATTGTATCGTCCCTCACCGAACATATCAGGTAATTGCAATCTATTGGCGATAATTAAATATTGGTTCAATTTAAATCTTGCCTTGGTTCCGTTCACTCACCCTTCGATAGGTCCAGCGAGGTAATTTTGGCAGGCATCAAAACATCATCCGCTTGCTTCTCTGTTCGTATATCCCAGAAGCGAATCTTCTTATCATAATGGCCACTGATAATCGTCGAGCCGAGGCTGTCCGTTGTGCACAGATCGTTACAGCTGGAGCCGGCAAACTTTGTCTCTATGCACGCGATGCTGCGTAGGTCCCAGATCTTCAGAGTGCGGTCGTGACTTCCGGTTACCACTTTAATTGGCTCTTGGACATATTTGGCGGCCATCACCTTGCCACTGTGACCCGTTAGTGTGTGCTTAAAACAAAGAAGAAGCCGGGTGTAAATCCGTTAAACAACAAATTTGGCGCCATAAAAAAAACCTAAACGCCACACTATGCCCGTTGACAATATAAATACATATATATATGAGCCATGAATTCGGACGTCGCGCCGTCTATTACCAACAGTTAGGCATCCCAAACAGCAGTCACTTAGCAATTACTCACCCAGGCAAGTTTTCTCGAGAACAGAACGTAATTAAAGTTGTCGTAAACACAGCTTCAACTGCGTGAAACAAATTATTGAATAGTGTTTTGGCTGCTTTCAGCTAGACAAACAACAACTAGCTGGACCAGAAGGTTAGAAGTTACGGTTAGGATCAGTTGAGGATGAGTCAGAATGCCCTTATCATTGCCCAAAAGTCATTTACCTCAGCCGAGTTACTGACTTTACTAAAAGTTATAGATCGTAGTGGATAGGGAATCTGCTCAACTTTTTAGAGACTTGCAAATCTTAACTGAATTTTCTGTTCAGTTTATGTTATGCAATAGTTAGAGCTAAGCTCACTATCATAATTGATTGACATATCTGCTGGAAATTTCAAACTATTTAATGTCTATATATATAGGTTTATAGCTTAAGTTTCATATAAAAAATTACTGCCACTTTTGAGATCTCTACTAAATAAACTTTACATACTTTTAGCCAGGTCTCTGCCAAAGCGAAAACTCCTGCTTCAATTTCCTGGTAAGTAATATAAAAATGTATATTTATAACTTTACGAAACTAAGAACCGACTGCTTATACCATGTCACATATCATAACATAAAATATATTTGATATCATAAACAAGCCAACGTGAATACAATAGGAGTATCAGGAGTTTTTTCTTAGGCTGTGTGTGTATTGGCAACCAGAATAGCCTGTTCATGTCCCTGACCAAGTTTTTCTAAGCCATAGCAAGTGAAGCGCAGCTCCTACTCTTAGCCAAGTTCCGAAAGAGCACAGGGGAATGTTATCAACCCGGCAACTGAAGCTGAACGGTCAATGCACGTTCTGGAGACTTGGAGCATGCCTGAAGTTGGCCAGAACTCTAAGCAACAGGTTTCTCCACTCACTCTCTCTCTCTCTCTCTGTGGCTGTCTCTCTGAGTTGGCTGTGTAGACTGTAGCTTTTGCTTAGAATAATAGCACTTTCGACAGTGCCACCGGTTGACGTATTGTCAGAATTTGAGCATGACTCTCTTACGTTCCTCGGATTCAAAGCAAGCCTAGTGCGTATGCTGCAGAGCTGGCTGCTTCAATCTTGAATGGAATGCTGAATAGAGCATGGAACAGTAGTTGCGAGGTCTAAGTGCAGTCGGAAGAGGCGTCTTAACTTATAAATATAAGAACATAACATTGGTCAAATGACTTCAGTTCTGCGGCAACCTTACTCAAGTAATCAAGTACGTCTGCAAGGTGAATACCAAGCCTCATGCTAAAACTAATCTCTGCTCAAGTGTACAAGTGTTCGTTGAGTGTTCGCAAAAGGCAGTTAAATCTAAAATAAAGCAATTCGTTTTTCTTAAATGTAACTATAATAATAATATAACGGGCAGGCTTTTGATGTGGTTAAGACTCGATTTATGTGGCCACAGAACTTTGGGCACAACAACACTAGCCACAATCAAAGTTGTGTTAATAAGTTTATTATTTGATTGAAGGCAATTATAACTATAAGCTAAACTGATAACTATAAATTTGTGGAACTTCATCAGTTTTGATATATCTATATATATAAATTGATATATATTTAAAATGTTTCTAAATATATGTTTTATATTTCAAGCTGCTAAAAAAACAGTGAAACAGTTTCATATGACATATATAGTATATTATCAGATATATGATGTGATATGATACACATATATGATTGAATTATATATATGTAATTAAGTAATTATATCAATTCAAATTAATACTGAGTAGCCTCAGACATATGCATAGACTATTTGATGTTGTAGAGACTGCATGATGCAATCATATCACAACAGATCTGTGCTAGATTATTTTAAAATATATATAATCATCTTATATTATAAACATATATAAATATTATATATGCCCATTTTCTATTAAGAATATAGTATAACATAAGAATGTTTAAGCGCGAGTTTAGTTCACAAAATTAGTTCAAATTGAATTAATCGAGTCTAAAATATAGTTTAATTTTTTAATCTTTATAAGCAGCTTCAAAATCAAACCGGAAGCAATGCAAAATATAAAATTATTTATTGCAATTGCGTTGCCCCAAGCTCTTCTTTGATCAGCCTGCAGCTTTAGCTTAAGCTGGTAGCTTTTTGAGATAACTGTCCACAGCATATGTAAATATAATTATATATTAAGAATAGCATATATACATATATATAGTATTCAATCTTTAGTTAAATATTCATATTCCATATGTTGCAGCCTAGAGCTTAAAGTTGCCTGAATTTTCTCAATATTCCAATTAATTTTGAACAATATTTGACTGGCCTCGTTCGAGTACTCGATGTCGTAATATTTTTCCTACTCAAACAAGTGCAAGCTCAGCCGAATATGCGAACAAGGTCGTTCCCAAAATTGGCCCACTTAAACGCCAGCTGACAATTAGGAGCCGCAAGAGTCTTACTATAGAAATGGGGTCGAAGCGCAATCGGGCATATTTTTGGGCAATTAGGTAGGCAGCTGGAAATTGTGCGCATTGTGTGTATTGGAAACCGTTTCGAGTGATCTCGTCCGTGGCTGTCATTAATTCAATGGCAAATAATTCAGGTAAGAAGTGCAGGCGAGTTGTCGTGGGGGCAACGCGGCGTGATAAGGAGGCAGCTTAAGTCAATGTGCTCATTTCAATGGCCGCGGACAGCGGGACTCTATATCTCGAGATGTGCGCAAAAAGAACCGTTTAAATGTCAATCCAGAAATACCAGTTAGAAAAGGTGGTGCAGCAGCAGCAGCAGCAGCGGCAACAGCAGCGGCGGCTGCAACTACGTAGATGCATAGAAAGACGAGGAAGAAATCGCACTTATATGTTTAGTCACATGCCGCAATGTGTAGCACCAAATGCTGTTGCTGCCGCTGCTGCTGCTGCTGCCGCTGCCTTCATGCTATTTAGGCCAAGTCAATGCGGGTTCTCAGCCTGTTGTCATATTTAACAATTTATTTGATTTCTCGCAATGCGCACATGCATTGCAATAGAAGGACGTTGGCATTCAAAGAACCATGCACCAGGTGCATTAATTCTGCGCAGCTGCAATTAGCAAAGCAATTTCAACGACAGGGCAAAGGCACGACAAAGTATGATTGGTTTATAGTATGAATAGCAACTAGCTTAAAGTTGGGCTAGTCCAAATTGCACTTTCACGTCAAAAACTGTGCACAACTTTCTTCTCTTTCTTCTGTTGCTTCTTCCATGACAAGGGCACATTTAAGCCATGGCTAGCTACTAGCCAAGCATTGGCCATGCCCATGCCAACTACCAACAGTAAAGTTGGCTTATCTCGCTCGAATTCTTGATACAGACAGGCTATATCATCTTCCCAGCTTAAGAGATCAAAGCCAATGAATACTTAGGCATCGAAGCATGCTTTGTGGTTTCTCTGGTTAGTGCAACGACTGAAAATGGGTTATAATGCAAAAGGCGTCTGTCTGTTACCTTTGTTTACAATCTGTAACTCATTTACATAGGGTCGTGTGTAGGAGCGAGCAAATGAATCAAAATGCTAATATCTGCTATGAGAAGAAGTACATTCAAAGTAGGCACAACAACAACTACAACAGCAGCAACAAAAGCCCACTAACATATTAAGTTAGTCTGCTTTCATCTCATGTTTATATAATTTTTAAGCTCAAACAGGTTTAGAATACAATTAAAGCACTGCTTATAAAAATGTATCTAGTTAGTTGTACTAAATAGATGAAGTTAATTGGATGAAGTGTGAGCTATAATGTGTGCTGCAACTACTTTACTGAGGGAGTTTCTTAATAAGAGAATCGATATTTATCGATAATTCTTATATAGGTAAAAGCTTCAATATTCTTCTACAATTCAGCTCAGCTCTTAATGCTAATCAAGATCAAGTTTATATATATTTATTGCTCTCTTTTCTGCGATTTGACTGAGAGTTCCGTCTGTGATTTTAGTCACATATTAAAAACTTATCCCATAACCCTCAACTTGGTCTACGTCGATAACTGTCAATCAGCAGATGTCACTCGTCAATGTTGCTTTCGAGTTTCGAGTTGCTCGTGTCATTCCATAGATGTCAGCCAGAGTTCAGTTCGTTAGTTGATTTCGTATTTTTAGTTGTTTTTTTAGTGTAGTCAAGCAAACAATGGATAAAGATTGAAGTTATTTAAAAAAAGATTTTATAGAAAATGAAGAAATATATGAGAAGAAAATTACAAGAAATAAAGGCAAAGTTATTGATTAAGAAGTTAAGCTTAAATGACATAGTTGAGACAATTTAGATACCTTATGGGGAAAGGAATTATTCATTCATATTAAATTTCGAATTGTTTTAAAATATATATGATATAAATATAAATATATTTCTAGACGATATATACAGCCTACATAAGCTCTCTCAAGAAAAAAATTAAATTCTGACAAAGTTTTTAAATTTCTTGATATTTTTCTCATACAAATTATGATCTATCATCTTTATGATCTAGAAAAATATCTTAGAAATTGAACTTTTAAATGAAAAAGTAACAAAATGTAGCTGATATGCGCCACTCATATGTCTCCACAGTTAGTCAAAGACTTATTCATAATCAGTTTTATTGATCTATAGCAGAGTACAAACTATTCCATTTTCTTTGTAATTCCCAATCAAGAAACGTCTGCAGAATTATAGAGTGAGGCTGGAGCTGGAGCTGGGGCTGAGCAATCTCTAATTGAAAATAAATAAAAATAGTTGTTCTATAGATTCAAGAGTGTCGAAGAAGCAGCAGCATTGTGAATAGATGCGGAAAGGTCATTATACTGTAATAAGCCTATTAAGGCTTATTAACACAACAACTACTAACATACAATTATGGGTAATGGTGGTCCCCTGGCTGGGCGCCAGAGCAATTGAACGGACTAAACGACACCTCAGACCGCAGGCATGAAAAGATAATTAAATTAATACCTCTGCTATTGTTTTTCTTAACGTTGTTGTTTAGCGTGCCGAGTGCGAGAGCTCACAGATCGTACAAATCGAGGCAACGTGCACGGTCCACAGTCCACCGTCGACGATCCACAGTCGACAGTCTACGCATATCAAGGAAAATATTTCCAATGAAAAGCAGCATACGACCATTACGCAGCATGAGGCCAACGCACTTGCAGCTACTGCTGTTGCTGCTGCTGCTGATGCTGATGCTCTGCTCGTCGGGAGATGCACGTCGGTCGCGCATCGAGCTGGAGGCAGCTGCAAGGGACAATTTGGCGGACCTGGTACCCGTCGTCATTCAGCTGGCACCAGCATCAATGCCTGAAAGTGACAAAACAAAGAGCACCGACAGCATTGGCAGCGGCCCTGCCGATCCCAGCCAGAAGAATGATCAATCATTGTACGTGGCCAATGCCAATGCCAATGGGCTGCGAGGGGCAACAACAAAGACCAAATTGGCTGACGGTAAATACCTGGCAAACAGTAGCTGGCAACGTGAACCCGCTACCTGTTAATGCTGCGATTAACCATGAGTGCCATCATTTTCATTTCACTTATAGATGCCAGCCACGCAGACTCTGACGCATCAATGCCCTTATTGAGTTACCCCGAGCAGGGGCAGGGGCAGGAGCAGGGGCTGGGGCTGGGGTTGGGGCAGGGGCTGGGACAGGAGGAAGTGGGCATTCCTTTGCCTCTGGCTGGCCAGCCAAATTATCATAATCACAATTCGGTCGAGGAATGTGACCCAGATTTGCTGGGCTTCGAAATTATTACAGGGTAAGATTTGAATAAACAACGGAACGAGAGAACTGAAGGGAGAAGATAAAGATAAATAAACAGGAAATGAATTACTAAGGATCAGAATATATTGTATACTATATACATACTATATATATAAATATATATATATATATATATATATATATATATATATTATAACTGCTTTCAGCTCATACATTTGATACATAATCAAATTATAATGTTCGAAATAATCATTAAAATTCTTGGAACTTCTATTATATAATTTACAGCTACGTTTTCTCCGCACCTGGCAGACTACTGGACTCATTGCCGGGCACACTGATGCTCACGGATTGCCTTGAATCTTGTCAGACTAACGAAACTTGTCAGTCCGTTAACTACGAAACTGGATTATGCGTTCTATTTTCATCTAACGCAGATATTTTGCCAGGTAAGTGATTCTCCTATTATGAGCAGCCACATTTCTAGTGTTAACAACTCGAGTTGATTTTCAAATGCTTCTAAATTTAATTTCAGGTGCCCTCACTAAATCGCAGTTTCCTGTTTTCACGATTTATGCGCAGAAAACCTGCTTGGGCGTACGTCCCTGTGCCAGAGCCTGGTGCATCGATCGAGTCCAAAACTACAGACTGGATGGACATGCAAAACGGGTCGTATCAGTGACATCGCGTCGTGATTGCCTCGAGCTGTGCCTTGGGGAAACGGAATTCATATGCAGGTGAGCTATTGATGTGTTTTCTGATATGATTGAGAGAATGTTTTCCGTTGATTCCGAAGAAATTCAGAATTTTACGAACATTTGAGCTTCAACAAAAATTAATGTGAAATTACTTCCAATTGCATTTGATGTAATTTATGGACTTCAAACTAAGCCAAGTGGCAGTAGCTGAAAGTCGTAAAAGATATTTTGAAATCAAAAGTGGCAGATGGCTTTAATCGGTATAAAGTTAAAGTTCGAATTAAATATCAAATAAAACTTTTCGTTCCATTATATTTCCAACCCTCTTCTTGCAGATCTGCCAACTACTATCGCGACTCAAACACATGTGAACTGGCCGAAATGGATCGTTTTACGTTGGCGGGTTCGAATGCCTTTCAGGCACATGCCGGCACAGAGTATTTGGAAAATAACTGTGCCGAGGAGCCGAATAAGTTGTGTGAATTCAAGCGTTTGCCGGGTCGCATACTAAAAACTGTGGACTCGGTGTATCAAGACATTGGCAGCGTGGACGAGTGCCGAGAACTGTGTCTCAACTCACCTTATAGGTAGGGAATCAAAGAAATTCAGATAAACAAAGTTATTGAACTCCATCTCTCTCTTCCCCTCAGATGCCATTCATATGACTATGGGGACACGGGCGACATGGTCTGCCGACTCTCGCATCACAGTCGGGCAACGCTGTCGGATGTGCAGGATCCCTATTTGGAGGTACCAGAAGCGGCTACCTATGAGCTGTCCTCGTGCTATAATGTGACCATCGAATGCGGAGCAGGGGACATGGTCGCTCGCATACGCACCTCTAAGCTGTTCGATGGCAAGGTCTATGCCAAGGGCTCGCCCAAGTCTTGTTCTGTGGACGTCAGCAGTGCGCTGGACTTTGAGATTCGCATGGGCTACCAGAATCTGGAGTGCAATGTTCGCCAGAGCGGCGCGGGTCGCTACATGAATGACGTTGTGATTCAGCACCACGACACAATTGTCACCTCGTCAGACTTGGGTCTGGCCGTGACCTGCCAGTACGATCTGACCAACAAGTCGGTGACCAACGATGTTGATCTGGGCGTCAAGGGCGACGTGGAGACAGCGCTCTCTGAGGAGGTTATTGTCGACTCGCCCAATGTGCTGATGAGGATCTCCTCCAGAGATGGCTCTGATATGATGCGCTCTGCCGAAGTGGGCGATCCCCTGGCCCTTCATTTCGAAATAGTCGATCAGCAGAGTCCGTATGAAATATTCGTACGCGAATTGGTTGCAATGGACGGCGCTGATAATGCGGAGATAACGCTGATAGACGCACAGGGCTGTCCCACAGATCATCTGATTATGGGACCTATTCTCAAAAGCGGACAGTCTGGCAAAATATTATTTTCCAATTTCGATGCCTTCAAATTCCCCTCAAGCGACGTTGTGCAGTTCCGTGCTCTGGTCACGCCCTGCATGCCCAGCTGTGAGCCAGTCAACTGCCAACAGGACGATATTACGGCGGAGTTCAGAACACAGCTGTCCTACGGACGCAGGCGAAGGCGCGAGACGTATGCTCAATGTGCGTATAACTTGATATCTTGCATTAGGCATATAATAATAGTAAAGTGTTCCGATTCTCAACCTTCTAGCAAATGTTGTAGGCCATCATCAGCATAAGTTATGGCGCACAAGCCGTGAGGCAAGAGCTGGCCTGGTGCAGAACAAAACAAGTCAAGAGGATTTGCTGCTCGTACAGTCGATACAAATAACTGATAAATTTGGCTTCGTTAAAAAGCAGCAGCAGCAACAGCAACAGCAACAGAAACAACAGACAAACAAGATAAAGGACTACGATTCATATGACAATGTGCTCTTTGTGAATGAGGGCGTGCCTGGTTTGTGTTTCGATGGCATTGGTGAGTAACGGAGGCGGAGGCATCTAATCTGCTAATCGCTTAATCAATTTCTGTTAGGCCGTTGATTTACATTCCGATTCGAGTCTAAACAAGCTTCTGTTGCAGGTTTCATTGTTGCTGCGACCGTGTTTTTCGTGGCACAATTCATTGTTATCGCCATTTGGTCGTATTTGTATAGGCGACGACAGATCCAACAGCCATATGTTAATCAATTTCTCAATGGCGCTACGGACTACAGGGGCAACGGCAGCAACAATATCGCGTTCGCTAAATAATCTGATAAGCAGGGCCCAAGGTGTGAGCGACAATTATGTAGGTAGTATATACATTCGATTATATACTGGGGTTTTTTTTGTTTCGATTGGAATCGGTGCAAAATAATGCAATATTTGATATATGACAAATTTTAGGAAAAGCTTAGTTTACTTTAAGAGAATTCAGATTAAAAAATATTTAAAAAAGTGATATTTCGAAATTCTTAAGTGTAAAATTTTGCATTAGATAAATATAACATTAATAATAATAGCAATAATAATTATAATAATCTTTCAATTTGGAAAAAAAGACGACTGTTCTCTCTCACTTGTCTTTTTTTCTGATTTTTTAATGAGTGTTTAAATAAAATTAAAAACATGAAAGTTGAAAATTAAAAAAATAATATTTTAAATACTCATTTAGAGCAAGGAAATATCAAAATAAACAAAATAAATATGATAAGAATATTAAATAAAATAAATAAACAAATGTTGTCATAGAACAGATGCATACAAAGATAATAATTGATTAATATCTTTTATATACATTTTTTGGTTTCTGTGTTTCATTGGAAAGGGTATGTCTTAGTCGGGCGAGTCTAGCTTATTATTTGATTCTGATTACGGAAGTATTTTGTAGCGTATATGTCTAGCATGAATAAATATATACAGTAGGGAGCAAAAGTGTTTCCATAGTTGACACTTTCAACTTTGTGAGTCGATAATTTCTAAACGAATGAAGCAAATCAAAAAAACTTTTTTTTCCAATAATATGTATTTAATTCTTAACAAATTGCCGTATATAACAAAAACAAAGTTAATCAGTAAAATATTCAAACGAGGAAAACTGAAACAAAACGCATGTGTACAATTTTGCACCTTCCGATATTCTTACTTTGGTTTGATTTCTTAATTCTCTTATCGGCAATAGACATGCAGTTTTACCTTTATATGTTTTATTTATGCATTCTACACTTTTATGATCCAGAAATCCACGTGTTTCTTATTATTTGAAGTAGATTTGTTAATTTTAGCAATTAGTCTACAAAGTACCGCGAAAAAATGAAGAAGCGTTCGTCAGATGTTGAAAATAGTATTATTAGCCTAACTGAAAGTGGCTGTTCGACTCGTAGTACTTCAGATCAGCTTAATATTTTTCATTCAGCGGTGTCCGAAGTCCAGAAAAGACGCAATGGTACATCCAAAAACACTATTAAAGGCCGCAAACGACTCTTAAAGGACTCTGACGCCAGACTAATGGGAACTGATAAGTTCCTAACACCGAAGAAAGCATCTATGGACATAGGGAAAGACGTGAGTCGGCGGGTGGCTAGAAGAGCACTAGCTAAGGTTGGATATGTGGCAAGTATGAAACAAAATAAACCAGCTCTATCCGAGAAGAATGTCAAGGGTCGATTGAAATTCGCCCGGGAACACAAGAACTGGACTGTACATGATTGGAAACGTTTTATCTGGTCGGATGAATCCAAGTTCAACCGTTTTCAATCAAATGGCACGCAATACTATTGGCACAGGTCCGGGGAAAAGCTTCAAAACACCATGTGAAGCAAACCGTTTAGCATGGAGGAGGCAATGTCAAAGTTTGGGGATGCTTTACTTGGTTACCATTGCATAAAATTGATGGTATAATGTTAAAAGAAGACCATCTCAATATTTTGAAAACCTGTCTACCCAATTTTTTGGACAAGTGTGCATACCCCGTAAAGGAAATCATTTTTCATCAAGATGGGGATCCGACGCACACTGCCAAAACTGTCCGCGAATGGTTACAAAACCAAGATTTTATGTTGATGGAGTGGCCAGCTAAAAGTCCCGAACTCAATCCGATTGAGAACCTGTGGTCAATCGTGAAGCGACGGCTCGGGCAATATCAATCAATGCCATCCAACCTAGACGATCTTTGGAAGCGTGTAGAACTGAAGTGGAACCGAGTTCCAAAGGAAACCATAGAAAAGTTGGTCGAGAGTATGCCAAACTGAATAAAAAATGTAATAGCTAATAAGGGCTTGTGGACAAAATATTGATTTATAATCATATTAAATTTTTTTCACTGAAGGTGCAAAATTGTACACATGCGTTTTGTTTCAGTTTTCTTTGTTTGAATATTTTACTAATTATTTTTTGTTTTTGTTATATACGGCAATTTGTTAAGAATTAAATACATATTATTGGAAAAAAAAGTTTTTTTGATTTGCTTCATTCGTTTAGAAATTATCGACTCACAAAGTTGAAAGTGTCAACTATGGAAACACTTTTGCTCCCTACTGTATATGTTATAGTCTTTGTTTGATTTCGCAAGATATAAATATATATTCTTATAATTTTAACTATATCTACATAGTTAAACATTCTTTCATTCATATCTCATTTCGTCTTTGTTTTGATACTTATGAAGATAACAAGTAAAGCTGTCTAAATACGCATTTTATACAACCTAGAATTCTGTTCAACTTAACACAACTCACCCTCAGCCGATTGTCCATTACTGTCCACACTCGGGCGCCATAATCATTTGAAGTACCTAGTATATACGCTCCGGTTGAGTCGAAATCGACAGAGTTGATGCCGGCACTGCTCCCACTAAGCACAGCACGGGGTTCCGTCGAGGCTAATGAGCATTGAATGCAGTTAATAAAAAAAATCTCTTTGGCAGCTGCATAACTGATAATTACCTTTGCCAACGTCCCACAGTTTGACCTTTCTATCGGCCCCGCCCGTAGCTACCATGCGCTCCACCGGACTCCAACGTACTGCATGCGACTCGTTCTCATGGGCCTCGAATTTCATTAGGATCTTTGTCGGATTCGGCTGGCCAAGATAGCCAGCGGCTTTGAGACCCTCAATTGAGTTATTTGCGTTAGCGCGTTGTATGTCGTGGGAGTTTTCGCCGGCCATAAATCTTGCATTGATATATTCCTCGTCGTTGAGACTCAAAGCTTCCATAGCGCCGTTTACCGACGCGTCATCAATTTCGTCGTCGCTTCCAGCGGTGCCACCAAATTGAGCTGGACTCGAGTTGCGATGCAGTGGGGTGCTGCCGGGTGCAGGAACAACCGGGTTACCCGGCGAATTGGGCTCGCGCACGGCGTCTTCCAAGTCACGTTTCAGTTTAGCCGAACGTTTTCTGAAAAGTGACGGCAGTCTTTTTCTAGATATTTTCGAAATCGGTTACATATTAATGTTGAACCATATAAAAGCAAAACAAGAAAACGAAAAATATTAAATTCGAAAAAGCCCGACTATAAATAAACGAATCAAGATTATTTACCTTTAGCAAAAGCAATTTAGTTGAATAACAATGTATTTAATTAATTTAATGACACAATGAGTTGCGAGTTATGTAAATTGCAAATTAAAAATAAAATTAAATGGAATACAACTTTTCCAAATTATTTAGCTGAAAACATAAAAAGTCTTGCGCGAGTTCTTGGGAAACATTTCTAATTGAAGAGTTTCCTAAAACTTCAAATTGGTCTTTGTATCATTTGAAAGCTGAACTCTTATGCAAAATAATAATAAATAATAAATAATAGATGAATCATGCAATTCCTTCAATTCTACTGTGACAACGATTTTTGTTTTTGAATATATATTTTAGTCATACCCATTGCTAGTTTTAGCCAATACTTATCAACATTTCTATAAATATTATATGTATATGAATATACAATATCTTTATATGAACCGATAAACTTATAAATGAATGCAGTGCACGTTTAATAAAAAGTCATTCTTCCTTTTTCTTTTCACTTTTTGTTACCTTATCAAACTTTCGTTTTCTTCATTCAGTTTATCGGCATCTTTTGCCCTGTAGCGCATTAAACGTTCCAGCAAGTAGCGATTCTCGTCCTGCAAGGCGAAAGGGACGATAAAAAATGTTAACAAATATTTAAATTTATTTTAATTACAATAATTATAATTAATAAGGCATTATAAATGCATTTATTTTTATTCAAATTCATTTGCTTTGGCTCATAAAAACTTGTACGTCGCGACAAAGAAACAAGTTTGCCGTCATTGGAAGTAACAGACAGATAAAATAAGCCTCATTCGTGTCTGCTCGTTTGTTTCGTAGCTGAGCTGATTAAATATTCATTTTCGAGATCAGCGTCTGACCGCATGCATTCTAACTAATTTTAAAAGAAACTCATTTGTTAAGGTGACAAATGAATATGCAATATATAAGAATAGAAAACCATTCTGAATAGACTCTGAAATATGAATGGAGTTTATGGATCCATGCAATACACTCTTTATAAAATAGACTACCCTTAAGTAGATGCTTTACCTTAGTTTACTCTACGCACGTTCATTAGCTACTTACCAAATTTCTTCAATAGCGACTATGCTATACACTATCCAAATACATTTATAACATAAACAAGACAATTTGGACAAACTAATACAAAAAACAAATTGGCAATACTTTTACTTTAAGGGAATAATATTGAGGGGGTGAAGTGTTTAGAATTTGTAAGGCAATGCTACAACGATGACAATATCCATGAGGCACATCTGATCAAACAGCAACTAACCTGTACATTGCGCATCTTCTCTTCCAGGGAACTGAATGCCAGCTGCAGTGCTGTGTGCTCATCCAGCAAGGTCGTGTTCAGCTTTTTGAGCTCCTCCAAGCTGGAGTGCAACAACTGCACCTCAGCCCTTAAGCGATTGTTGGCAGTTTGTTGTTCGTAAAGACTGAAAGGAGCGCAATATAAAGTTTACCAGGCCTAGTTAGAGTAGTCCTTGGCAAATACCTGTGCTCCTTTTCGGAAATGAGCTCCTTTTGCTGCTCAACTTTGAGATTTAGATCGACAATCATTTGCGAGTGTTCACCCTTTCTTTTGTGCAGGTCCGTGAGTTCCTCTTGTTGCGCCAGCAGCTTCTTTTCCAGAGTAGCCATAGCAACATTGGGACCGGTGCCACCTGTTGACACAGCATTGCGCAGTTGCTCATTCTCCACAGACAGTTTCAGATTGTCCGACTTTAGTTGCGCAACATGATCTATGAGGCGATTGTCTGTGATGGTGCTCGTTGGAAGAGAACAAGTTTTTAGTTAGTTCGCAGTCAATCGAACTGTGTCGCAGTCAAACTTTGTCTGCAGCTAAATCATACATATATAAATATATATGTATACCTAAGTTACTCACTTTGCACTATTATCTCCTTGAAGTTCTCACACTCCTTGCGGTCCCGTTCACGCAATCTTGAACAACGTGCTCGCGCCACAGGCACTCCTCAGTGGACATCTTGCGATCCAAATGAGATTTGGCTTGTCGTAAAAGATTGTATTGCGCCTTGCTGCTCTTACTGTCGTCACAATGCGAATACAGGCATATTTTATGGCAACGCTATTCTAATTAATTTCCAAAATCGATGCGTTACGATGCTCTAACGTAATTGCTTTACGATTAAGCTAATGTTTTCTTTCTTGTTAAATGAATTTGTTGTGACCGGACGATTATTGTTTTACGCTGTCTTTCTGAACAGCTGTTTATCGCTGTGGTGGCTGGACGATAAGTGGCCAATCGAGAATTGTCGTGAAATATGAAAGATACCAAGAATGACGTAAGCAATAGTAAATTAAAGTAGTATTAGTTGAATAATAATGAAAATACTTTTAAAATATTTATTATATATTAAAATATAATTATTCTTAAACAAAATATCTTGTTTGTTGCTTTAAAGTATATTGTTTATTAATATGTTTTTACAGTAATAGTATTATTTTTTTGTTGGTAGGCCTGTATTTTTATGGTAATTTAGTAGTTTTCACAAAAGTATTTCTCTTATAGTATTTGTTAGTATTTTTTCAAAGCCGTTAATAAAATACTACTTTGGTGATTTCAAATTTGTGGTTGAGATATTTTTGCATCTAATTTAAATTTGATGTGTGTACTATGAAGGGTTCCCTTTCTTAATATTTTCTCATTTTCAACAGGTGAAAACAATAAATATGTTAAATGTTGCATGCATATACATATATACCCGTATACTCTGATTATATAACTAGGCTACCTAATTAATAATTAATGTTTAATAAAACTCAATTTCAACCTTAATTAAGCTTTTTAAGTAAAATATTTCTTTATAGAAAATCACATATGTCCATAATTGCAAAAAAAAAATATATTATAAAAACTCAATTTTTTGGGTCTTAATTCGTTATGCGTACACATTTAAAATTTGATAAGCTATGAAAGTTGTTTGTTTGTTAATAAATAAACACAATTAAATTAAGGCTCACCTGCACTGCTCATATGTTCAATCAATATTAATTAAAATACAGGTATTCTCCCTTAGGGCGCATTCACATTCCCATTCCTGGCTTTTGCATGGGTGCTTCGCTTCTGTTGCGGGCGCGCGGATTCGTTGCGGCGGCTGCCTGCGCCGAGTTTCATAATTCGACTTAAATGCTACGAGGCAATTTGCAGTAGCAAGCAACAACAACGGCAACAACAACAGAAACAGCAACAAAGCACAAACAACATGAACAAAGTGCACATTCCTGCCGCTAAAAAACGCCGCCTGCTGCTGTTGCTGCTGCTGCCACTGCTGCTGCATTATTACAACTACACAACAATAACAATAATAACGTGCGGTAGAGAAAAATCATCCACCCACACTTGGACACAACTCAAATAGACCCGCAACCCCACGCTGGGCAACCACCACCCACACATAACACAGCGAGAACGAAAGAGTAAGAGAGAGAGAGAGAGTGTTTGCGAGAGCTTTGAGCGCGACTTTTGAACTATGTTGACGCATGCGCTTAGCTAACGGGGTGTTTGGAGCTTTAAACGATTCGCCGAGTCGTTTGGCCATTTTTGGGGTGGTTGTCGTTCAAAGCTCGACGCGCTGTTGCGTCGCATTTATTGTGCAAAGCCATTGCCGCTTGCGACTGACCAAGCGAGGCAAAGTGAATGTGTGTGTGTGTGAGAGAGAGAGAGAGAGAGAGGGAGAGAGACAGCGATTGCAATTGAGCGTGTGCTCTTTGCGAAGCTTTCAACTGCCATTCTACTTTCCAAAGTTCAATTGAGAAATTCTGCCCGACGAGCGTGTGCGACTTTTTGGCCAGTTTTACGAAAGACGTTCGCGTGTGCGGTAACGGTAAATCCAACACAATTGGTAAACAAAAACAAATGTCGCTGGCTGAAGTGAGAGAGAGGCGCGGGGGTTGAAATCTAACATTGCATCAGCAAAAGGCGCAATTAAAAAGCATATTTCGAATATACATTATTGATAACAAAAATAATAAATACAATATATATTTAAAAAGAGTCGAAAAAAAAATATATATATAAATATATATATTTATTGTTAACTGCAACTTAAAGGACAAAGCATTAAAGTGGGATTTGCTCTGCCGTGCCGGGCTAACTGTAACTGTAAATTGTACACGCCGTGTTGCGCCTTCACCCAAGGGTGAACGGAATCGTTCCACCCTCCTTGAATAAACTTTCCATCCCAATCGTGTGCTGTGTGAAAATCACACAGAAAAACAAGAGCAGAGTTTTAGTTTTTATTCGCAACAGCCATTTGCTTAGTGCCACAGCAAAGCCGCGGGCGTGGCGTCCACGGACACGGACACGGCCAGGGACACAGAGACAGCGGCAGCCGCACAGCAGGCAGCCGTTGCAACGGGACTATTTCACATTTTGTTCTGGCTGTGTTATGTTTGTCGTGCATTTGCAGCAACTGTGAAAAATAACTGCGAAAACTTCAACTCGCAAAAGAGGAAAAGAGTTTTTTAGGTGAGTGCGAATATAGTTGATGGCAGATCATATATTGGCATTTTTTTGTATGATAAATTGGATTTATTGCTGCTCTATAAACTAACTATTATAACACACATAAAAACTCTATGAAGTTAAAAAATATTTGTTGTATTAAAAACTTTTTATTATATAAAAAAGGACAAAAATCGAAGTTTTTTAAAGGAACTTTTTTATCACAGGGTGGCAAATATTTCGAGTTCGACTATATTATAAAATTAAAATTAGTTAATTAAATGAAAATTAGTATAAAATCGAATATTTCTTAAATTTTCTAAATTTCTAAAGGCTTGCCACTTTCGCTCAGTGTAGTCAGTTAAAAAATGCGCAACTGATGCACTGAAGTGATTTAGTCAACAGCCAATACAATAAGGTAGTTAAGGGCTTACGCAAACAAAAGTGACCAAAGTCAATTCATATTAAGGGTCAGCCAGCAGCCCAGCTGTCCCAGAAACCAGTTCGCAGAGCCAAATTCAAATCCAAATTCAAGCTCACAGGCGCGCAGCCATCCAAATCCACATATGTATGCACAGGGCAGTCAACTAACTAAACAAAAGAAGGCAATTCTGAAGAGCTTAAAATGCGTTTTGTCAACATTAGACAAAAGGCCAGTTGACTCTGTGTGAGGGGTTGGGGGTTGGGGGTTGGTTGGGGTTACGTGTCATGTGTGGATAAGGGGAATGATTAATGCTGCTAAAATTGCTTTCGAATTGCCGCCAACACAACAGCAGCAACAGCAGCTACAATGCTAGATGCTGTGCGGACTTTGTGAGCTGGAAACTGGAAAATGCACAAAGTGTTGCCGCATCGCGCCGCCTGTTGCCGCCAACCCTCAAGGACGACAAACAACCCTCGTCTTCAAGCAGCAGCAGCAGCAGCAGCATCACGACTGCAACTGCAGCAATGATGAATAATTCAAATTCAGACGCATCTCGTATGCATGTGCATATAAAAGCAGTCAAGACCAGCTGAGTAACGGTAACTTGCACAATACGTAGCAGGTAACCGGGGCTTAAGTGCATTATCCTTGAGCCCGTTCGCCGCTCAACCCCCGACCTCCAACCGTCCCACCAAAATAATTGCTCAAATCTTGGAGCTTGCGCCCAAAACCAAGTTCCCTCAATGCTGTTCGAGGCCTCGGCGGGTCCTTGACTCGCATGAATTCGCCCCGCCAAAGCCCCAACCACCTAACCACGTCTTACACCACCTTTGGTCCGTGCACCTGCTGTGATCAATCATCAAGGGATGCTCCGCCTGAGCTGTTTGTTTTCTTTCCTCATGAACTCACGCGGAATTTCATATATTTCACTTTTAATTTAAAGAAAACATATCAAAAGCAATTTGCTTGAAATCATTTTGCACTTTATTTATTTAAGTAACAATAACATAATTTTTTTAATTCATGGGCATAGTTTGTATGTCTTAGTTATTAAACATATATTAAAAATAAAACTGAAGTTTATATTTTTCTTGAAACATAAGAATAAATATTAAAAATAATAAAAATAATAAAAAAAATTTAAAAACATTTTAAGAAAATTTCTAAAAATATTTTGAAAAAAATTTTGAAAATATTTTGAAAAAATACATAAAAAATTATGTTTGCCTTATTTGCCCTTAAGACTTCCTAACTTACTTTATACACTCGCAAAATCAGTTCCAACAATCGCCGTTTAACTAACGACGATTTGTTTTACAACTCACAAACTTCTCCACAAATTATTTAAAGTATGCACTAGCCACGCCTACAAGATGACAGACAATTAAAATAAATGATATGCCCCACCAATTATTGTCTCATTAGCTTCCCTCGTCAACGAACTAAAGTTATATGTGACCCATAAAGAGCACAAATCAATATTGTTCATAGGTCAAGAAAACATGTTTTCAACTCATTTGAATACCATTTCAGCTGCTAACAGGGTGTGCAGCAGTCGTGTATGCTCAACTGCAACTGTGGTGCCTGTTCTCAGGTATTGAGTGCTGCAATTTCTGTGTTGACTTTACGCTGTCTAATGAGAAGTATTGAGCCAGTGCTCAATATAAAGATATCAGAGCAGAGCTTGGGCCGCATCCTGAGCTCCTTAACGGCATTGGCGAGTGAGGTCCTTGTTGATGGGCGGGCGTGGCAGGAGGTGCGACTTTAGCTTTGGCTATTTCCACGCCACGGGCACGTTTCGCTTTCCTAGCTAAATTAGATTGCGTGCAGACTGTGGGCGAATTGCCGGACAGGTGCAAACGGTGTTCTGACTGACAGCGAGTCACACACACAGACACATACATACAGTGGGCCGTTGCGTGTGCAACTATTGACAGGGCACCGTGGGGTTGGGCTGTGGTTCGTGCTATGCAGGGCAACTAATCTCCTTAGTGCTATTAATTATGTGCCCCGACGCCATTTTGTTAACCAGGGCAACGCGCAACCAAAGCCTGAATATGCGTTTCCAAAGCCGCGCTCACTCTTACACCGAGCCATTGTTTCGCTGTTCCGTTAAACTTTATCCTTCTAGCGGCCCTGATAAGCCAGCCAGCGAGCCAGCCACAAAGGCGAACGCTTCACGCAACTTCTGCATGCTTCCAGATTACTCAACGCCTCGCACCACAACGAAGCGGTTCCAAGAACTTTGTTCCGGCTCAGCTGTTT